AAGACAATCAGATTGAGATTTGATTTTTGTGGCAACAGTATTTCAAAGATGGTTTAGTGTTATTTTCCCACTATACCAGTAGAAAATATAGTTGTATAACTATACATCATGCCTCATTTTCTCTGGCAGTATTTGTTTAAAGAGTGAAAATAGTGATTATAAAATCCTTCCTTTCTTCCTTTCTCCTCTGTCTTTTTCTTCACCATCAGCATCTCATGTGGCTGAGAACAATGTCCACTTTTTAGTATTTCCAGCAACTTCTATAAGTTTAGAATATGATACCATCTCTTATTTCCTTGCCCGTTTAATTATTGTTTCTGACATGCTCAGTCATTTCCATAATGTGTTACTGAAACCATTCTCTTCAAGTGAGCTAGCTTGCTGAATTTAGCAGTCCTACCTCAACCTTATTTTGCTCAGTAGTTGGACAACTTTGGATACTATTATTGCCTCTCCTTGAAATACTCCCTTGGCTTTTGTGACATGCTCTATTTTTGCTTTTAAACTGCATCCTATCTACCTCAATCAGACTTTTCTTTCTTTCTTTTTTTTTTTTTTTGTAGTGTTGGGGATTGATCCCAGGGTCTTATGCATGCTAGGCAAACATACTTTACTACTGAGCTATACCTCCAGCCCTAATGACTCTTAAGTGTTGGTGTTGCTCTCTCTGTCTCTAGCCTAGGCTCTGTGCTTAGCTTGCCTTGCACATTCTCTGTGGCTCATCTTATTCAATGCTGTGTTTTCATTTATCATCTGTAAGTAAATACCATTCCCCCTCTTGTTTTTGGCAGGTCAGTTCTCTTCAGAACTAGCTTTTTTTGTAAAGCCAGGTGAGGTGGCACAAGGTAGTATTCACAGCAACTTGGGAGGCTGAGGAGGAAGGGTCATAACATCCAGGCCACTCTGGACAATATAGTGAGACTCCATTTCAGAAACTGAATAACTGGCATATAACTTTTTTTTTTTTTTTTTTTAATGGTACTGGGTTTGAACTCCGGGCTACACCTTGAGCCACTCCACCAGCCCTTTTTTGTCAAGGGCTTTTTCAAGATAGAACAAACTATTTGCCTGAGTTGTCTTCAAACTGAGATCCTCCTGATCTCTGCCTCTTGAGTAGATAGGATTATAGGCGTGAGCCACTGGTGCCTGGCTATAATACATAACTTAAATCCATCCAGTTCTCTTTTACTGCCTCTGTTCCAGTGTAGACCTTCATCTATCACCTTCATTACTTCGGGTCTCCTTTCTGGTCCACTTACTATGTGAAAATGATTTTGTCCTTCCTTCCTTTCTTCCCTTCTCTCTCCTCCCCCTAGTACTGGGGTTCAGGGCCTTGCTCTGCCACTTGAGCCATGCCCCCAGTGTTGGTTTTGTTTTTGTTATTTTTCTAATAGTGTCTCAGTTTTATGCCCAGGTTGGCCTGGATTGCAGTACTTCTGTTTATACTGCCCGCATAACTGAGATGACAGGCATGCACCATGGTGCCCAGCTTTTCATTAGTTGAGGTGAGATTTTGCAGACTTTTTGCCTGGGCTGGCCTCTAACTTAATCCTCTTCCTCTCTGCCCTGGAGTGCCTAGGATTATAAATTTGAGCTACCACATCCAGCCGTGGGAGTAATTTTCCAGAAAAACTCTGTGACTCCTCATTGGCTCTAGGATAAATTGTAAAGACATGAGCTTCTTTTGTGTTCCATCCCCTGTTTTCCTGCTCATTTTCATCATGCTCATTTCCTGCTCATTTTCATGCAGTTCACACTATTCTGTTTAAATTGCCTTTTTATTAACTGATCCTTCCAGTAGATTGTAACTTCTTGTCTATAAAGACCAAGTCTTTTCCCTCATTAAACTTGGTGTTTAAAACAATGCCTGGGGCTGGCAGTGTGGCTCAAATGGTAGAGGGCCTGCCTTACAAGTGTGAAACCCTGATTTCAAACCCCAGTACCACCACCAAATATAAAAAAGGAAAAAAGAAAAGAATGGCTGGCACATAGTAAGTTTTCTATATATGTTTGTTGAATGAATAAATAAGTTTGTTCAGTACACAGATATACAATTTAATGATTTATGTTTCAGTTTTATCATTATTAGATAATCCTACTATTTCAGTACTGTCCTTATTTTTTATATGGATTTGCTTATTTGGTTAGAGGAAGCCTCTCCATAATTAAATTGGACAATATAAGTAGTCCTGATTGTATTTTCCTGATCAAGTGATCAAGTTGGGATTTTTTCCCATGCTTCTTCATGCCCCCCACTTTAATTGGTTAATTCCCTGTCTTGTGGTTCCACACAATAGAAACCTGTAGGCATTTCTGATAGCTACCCTGCAGATAATCCTGAACCCTATCATGTCCTTTTCAGGGTATATGAGTCCTTAGGTGCTTTGGCTTGGCAACACTTAAGACTTAGAAATGTGAGATTTAATTGGGAACTGTTAGATACCAAAGTTATCCATTGTGTTTCTGGGTTATCCATTATGTTTGGTTCTAATTTCACTATTTATTACTGCTGTTTTATTTCTCTGGACTTGGAGTGGTAGTGGTAGTTTTTCATTGTAATTTTTAGCACTTCTCTGTCTGAAGAATCAATAAAAATCATAAAATGAATTCAGCTTATATTTACCAGAGCTGTTCAGTGGAGAAAGAGCTCTCTTCTTTCAAGTCACCAGCTGCTATTGGGAGCATTTGAGCTCTCACTTTTTGACTCAGGGTTCATATTTGACTAAGGTTAACAGTCTCATTTTTCTTTCTCAACTAGTTTATTTACCATTGTATTCCCATTGTCTGGAACAGTGCCTGGCATGGGCATAGCATGAAAAAGACACTCAAGAAAATGATCCTTATTTCCTCTGCCCATGATAACGTTTCTTGATTATGTTCCCACAGGCCTTTCATTATACATTAATTTCATTTCATCTAAATGATTATTTTGTATTACTTTGAAGTATCCCTTCCAATTGAATTTTATATATATCAGTAGCCTACTGGTTTTGTGGGTTTTTTTTGTTTTGTTTTTTTGTGGTACTGGAGCTTGAACCACCTTGAGCCACTTCACTAGCCCCTTTTTGTGATGTTTTTTTTCAAGATAGGGTCTTGAGAACTATTTGCCCAAACTGGCTTTGAACTGTGATGGTGTGAGCTGCTGGCGCCTGGCTAGTAGCCTATATTTTAAGAGCATCTCAGGTGTACTTCCCAAATTCAGTGGAAATTCTGTCTAGCTATTTCTGTATAAGACAAGCTAAAAGAAATTTTTTTTTTTTGTAAAACACAAGATTTGAAGAATGCCCTCCCTTTAAATGGGGAGGGGCTCTCTATGTTGTCCAAGTTGTTTTTGAACTACTGGGCTCAAGCAATACTCCTGCCTCAGCATCCTGAGTAGCTGGGACTACAGGCATTCCCCACCTTGCCTTGTCTGAAGGGTTGTTTTTTTTTCTTTTTAAATTTTATGTCAGGGACTCACTAGGCTGGACTCAAACTCAGTCCTCCTGTCTAAGGCTCACCAGTGCAGGGATTGTAGACATGAGTTACCATGTCCAGAAAAAATTAGTATTTATGAGAGTTCTTGATTGTGTCACAAAACTTCGCCTCCATTTACTCTCAGTTGATTACATCATTTAAAAAATACTGTATAGAAATTTCTTTCATGGTGTTACAAATATAACAAGTATGGTCTCGGAAATGTTAAGTAATACTGCCTAAAAATTTGCTTAGGGAAGTGGATTACATGTAGAATCCAGAATAGTCCATTTAGGTTTTTCTTAAAAGCATGTCCTTCCAGAGGACATAAAATACATTGAAACCCTATTAAATCACTTTTGATTAAGTGCACTGGCTGAGACTATGAGACTGCTAAGCAGTTTATTTAAATCATAAATACCAGCCATTCTATGGTTATTGCTGGCTAACAGTTAACTGTGAAGGTCAGTTCCAGTTATGCTTGGTAGTTCTTGACATGGGTATAGTTTATGACATCCTCATCTTCTGCTTTTTTTTGTAAATTATAAATTGTCTTTCTTTTTGGCTGTACTGGGATTTGAACTCAGGGCCTTGTGCTTGCCAGGCAGGGAGGACTCTTCCACTTGAGCCATGCCCCATCCCTTTTTGCTTTCATTATTTTTCAGATAGGGTCTTGCTTTTATTTTTATGCCCTGGCCCATGGTCCTCGTATTTATACTTCTCAACTAGCTGGTGTGACAGGGGTGTACCACCTTGCCCAGCCATTGGTTGAAATGGGGTCATGAACTTTTTTTTGCCCACATCAGCATTGAGCCTTGATCCTCCCAAGTATTGGGATTACAGATGTGAGCTGTCATGCCCAACTTAATTTTTGTCTTTAAAGGAGAATTAGTCTTCTGTAATAATTGCATGTTAATTTTTGAAATTCACTGTATTTGGCAGGTAATATGACCAGGAATATGTAAATGTATATTAAATTCAAGCCTGGTGCCCATGGCTCACGCCTATAATCCTGGCTACTGAGGAGGATTGTGGTTTGAAGTCAGACCCGTGCAAATAGTTCATGAGACCCTATCTCAAAATCCCATCACCAGAAAAGGGCTGGCAGAGTGGCTCAAGTGGTAGAGTGCCTATCTAGCAAGCGTGAAGCTCTAGCAGCCAGGTGTAGTGATACATACCTGTAATTTTATCACTCAAGAGGCTGAGGCAGATGGTTTTTTTTTTTTTTGTGGTACTGGAGTTTAAACTCTGCATACACCTTGAACCACTCCACCAGCTCTTTTTTTTTTTGTGAAGTGTTTTTTCAAGATACTATCTCAAGAACTATTTACCTGGGCTGGCTTCGAACTGTGTCTCAAGTAAACCCATAAAATGATAAATATTTTGAATTAATTGATTTTTATACTAGATTGAAAATGTAATCTAATACTTATATTCACATCATAGTAAATGTGTTCTTTGAAAATGTGTACTGCAGTTAATAATTTAGAAATAACTTAAATTTTAAGTGAAAGAAATAATCTTTACTATCTCTTTCTCCTCAGGTGGAATGAACCTTACTTGTTGAATATCTCCTCGTTACTGGTTGGATTCACTTGCAAAAGAATCATTTTCCCCTGTGTGGAAGCCACTTGGTGGCATATTTAATTATAAATCCAGGGATTGCAAGGCTTTTTGATTTCCTGAAGGAGGGACATACCACTATATTAAATAAGCTTGCCATTACAGCCAAAATGGTGCTGTCCCAGAGACAACGAGATGAACTGTAAGTTTCTCTATTTTGTGCTTAATGGGGGAGGCTTAATGTATGGTGATAACATGCCTGTAATCCCAGTTTTGGGAGTGGAGGTAGGAGGATTGTGGTCTGAGGTTGGCCTGGACAAAAGTACTAGACCCTATCTTAAAACTAAAGCTAAAAGTGCTGTGGTATGGTTCAAGTGGTAGAGGGCTTGCCTAGCAAGTTGCAAGATCTGAGTTTAATCCCCAAGTATTGAATAACAGTACAGATTGGGGACTGGGGATGTAATTCAGTGGTAGAGTGCTTGCCCTGGGTTCAATCACTGATACTGCAAAGAAAAAAAAATTACTATTTGTCTTATCATGTGCACTCCATAGGAATATGTGTGTGCATAATATGTACACAGATTTTTTCCCTAAATTGTTTGACTCAAAGTTGCATATATCAAAGAACTCCCCCCCCCCACATCAGTGTTCATTTCCTAAGAATAAAGATATTTCTTCTATAAAACCACAGTACAGTTCACAATTTTAATAAATTTGACATTGGTGCATGCTTTTATTTAGTGTGCCTTCCATATTCCAGTTTTACCAGTTGACCCCAGGATGTACTTTATATTAAGGCATTTCTTCTGTAATATACCATGCAATCTAGAATCAAGTGTTGCATTTAGTTGTTATGTCTCTTATTTTTCGTGACACTGATATTTTAGAAGAATAGTCTTTTTTAAAAAATATATTTTCCTCATTTTGGATTTATTTATTATTTCCTCATGATTAGGTTCAGTTGTGCATATCTGAGGAGATATTTAAGACCATGCCCATGCAAACATTTTTTTTTTTCATTTAGTCACATGTGCGTACATTGTTTGGGTCATTTCTCCCCTCTGCCCCCCTCCCCGCAAACATTCTTTGAGAATTTTTTTTTTTTTGGTGGGACTGGGGTTTGAACTCAGGGCTTTGCAAGTGCTCTACTGGAACCACACCTCCAGCCCATATCATGCAAATATTCTTGGTTTAATGTCCATTGATAATTCTTTATTCATTCAGAATAGGAGTCTTGAGAACTGTGTGTCTGGGTTGGTCCCATACTGTGGTCCTACTGATCTCCACCTTCTGAGTAGTGGGGATTATAGACATGCACGACTGGCCCAGCTTTTCTCAAACCATTCTTTATTACAATGGTTGCAAGGTAATGATTTTCTAACACACCATTTCACATTTACTAGTTAGCAGTCATCATTTTACTGTGAAGCAAGAGGCCTTCTTTTACTCCTTTTTATTTACTTGTCTTTACATTATTGGTTTGAACTCCTGAATTCTCATATTTTTCAGTAATTCATCCTTCATTGCTATTTTTTCTGTTTTACTACTTGAGAAGTTCTAGATTTGGCCCATAGGAGCCCCTTCAGTTGGTTTTGTGCATGTTTCTGTCATTTTGGGGGAGTCAGCTTGTCATTTACCTATCTTGCCTTAACTCTGGAGTCAGCCATTTCTCCAACAGGCCGTGGATCCTCTTAATGGGAAATAGTATTAGAGACCAAGATATGGGTACAAGGTTTGTACTTCATTACTGGGATGTGTTTGCATCTGGGCCCTTTAAGTAACAGAACTAGGAAATGTATGTATAAATGTATACAGGCACCTTATATAGACATACACTAAGTAGTTTTGCACCATTAACAGTTTAGACCTGATAATTCTTTGTAGAGGCAGTCCTGTACAATGTTGGTGTGTGGCAGTATATCTAGCCTCTGCCCTCTATATACCACAACAAAAAATGTCTGTGGTTATTGCCAGTATCCCTGATTGAAAACCACTGTTAGGCACATACACATACACATGCTCACATACTTGTTTTAGAAGTCAGGCTATAGTGATACTTGTAATTCTGTTCCATCCCAAGGATCTTTCTTGCTTCCATAGTGAGAACCCTTATTCCCAACAATATCAACACTGACTCATTCGATCAATCCTGAAATACTTAATATTGTTTGAAGATTGTTTCCTTTATATCTATTACAAAAACTAATCTGGAAAGAGTCCAGAATTTGTATGTAAATCTCCCCTTGTTCACCCGTGGATGAAATATTGTATTGATCAGTTACTTTGATTCACTTTACTATTTTTTGCCGCCTTTGTGTGGTTTTATTAGTCACTTGAAATATCATTAGGTTCATCAATTTTAGTTTTATGCTTTTTTGAGATCTTCCACTAATCTTTGTTAATTTTTTTCAATATGTAGAACAGTATACAAAAGTATACTCTTAAATGTGCTGTTACTTTCTGAATCCTTCTACCATGTTACCCATACCCCTTGTGGGAACCATTCCCATTGTTTTATGAAAATGAGAGACTTACATATATTTTCTCATTTATCCAACTTTGTTACATAAAAGCACATATGTGCTCTTTTGTATTTGTTTTTTTCTTAATACTTCTTAGAACTGTTCCATATTCATTGAGATTTTCTTTTCTTTTAAAACAGCTGCATACACATAGGACACAGTAGTTCTCTGTGGGTATACCATAGGTTTTTCAGCCAGTCTTCTATGTTCAGGACATTACAGACAGTATTGCAATAAATCCACAAATAAAGTGGGTTTACTTTGATTTTTGAGATTGAGTCTCACTAATTTTGCCTGGGCTGGCCTCGAACTCTAGATTGTCCTCCCTCTGCCTCTCAAGTAGCTGGAATTATGGAGTGTACCACCACAGGATTACAGGCATAAGCCACCGACATCCAGCCCCAGGATAATTTTTAATATGAATTCAGATGTTATGATGCTAATTAATAAAATAGTGGAATCCATTAGAATATAAAAAAGTTAATCAAAGACAAGAAAGATTTATCCCAAGAATGCAAAGGTGATTCAACAGCAAGAAACATATTAATATAATTGCTACATTAATGGGAGAAAAACTACATGATCAATCACTGAAAACGTTATTTTTGTGTATGTGGTGCTAGGGGTCAAACCCAGGGCCTGTGCATTACTAAGCATGTGTTCTAACACTATGCTACATCCACAGTGCTGAAAATTGTCTTTTTATTTTTGCCTTCTTTATTTATTTTGATGAAACTAGGGTTTGAATTCAGGGCCTCACACTTGCTATGCAGGTGCTCTGCCACTTGAGCCACACCCTTGGTCTAGTTTTTTTGCTTTATTTTTTGGTGATACTGGGATTTGAACTCAGGGCCTCAGGCATATAACAAAGTCCTCTACCACTTGATCCATGTCTCCAGCCCTTGAAAATAGTATTTTTTAATATCCATTCTTATTTCTTATAAACCTCTTAGAAAATAAGGAATGGAATAATTTCTTAACTTCATTGACTGTCCATCAGAAGTTTGCACTAGACATTAGAAACATTAGGTATATTACAATTCAAGTTAAGAATAATTATTCTTATGTTTCTGCAACTGTCTAAATGCATATTTGAGATTCTAGCCAACACAGCAGGGCAATAAAAAGAACTAAAAGTATTAGACTGAACTTAACTATTTTTAGGTGATAACATCTACATAGACAACCCAAGACACAATAAACAGTTAAAATTAATGGATTCAGTATGGGACCTGAAATAAGATAGCATTCAAAGGTAACCTGTTTGCTGTGGGTGGCCCAGTAGTAGATTGCTTGCTTAGCATTCCTGAGAAGACCTGAGTTCAATCACCAGTATTGCCAAGGAGGGGAAAAAAATAAATTGTTTTTGTTGTTGGATAACATATTAGAAAACATTTCTTGGCCCATGTTCCTATTGAAATTGGGTCTCACTGTGTTGCCCATAGTGGTCTAAACATCTGGGCTCAAGTGATCTTCTTTCTCAACTTTCTGAGTAGCTGTGGTGAGACGACAGGTATATGCCATCATATTTCTGGATGAAGAAAATCAGTAATGTGAATTAGTGTTGGTCAACTTATAATATATGGTTGTCATTGTAGTGCTCCCTGATAAGTTGCTTACATGTTCTTGGTCCCCTTTCCATACTCAAATATCTAACTAAATCCCAGCCTTCAGTTTACCTCCAACCCCAAATAGAAAAGAGGAGCTAGTCAGCATGTAACTTTCTCAACTTCCTTATTGGTATTTGTGTCATGACATTCCTCTTCTATAATGTGTCTTTTCTTGTAATACAACCATCTAGAATACCATCTACCATCAAGTTGGTCATTGAAATGAAATGTGATATAGCACAATAAGAAGGCCTTGTGTGAATTCTATAGAATGTAAACAGTTTTGACCTTGATCCTATCTCAGTTACCTTTAGAGATGCCATATTTCATTCTTTTGAAAAATCAGAAATTTCATCATTTAGATTCACATTCACAACTGAAGTTTTATGTTGTTTGGTGGCTCACTATTTACGACAAGTCTTAACATTTAACAATAGGGAAAAATAACAGTAATCCTACAGTACAGGATGTCATTATTTATTGTCTGGAATAATCAGGATATGATGCCTTCTACTGAATGAAATATTTCTATTAAAATTTTCCTGGACTGGAGGTGTGGCTCAAGTGATAGAGTGCCTGCTTTGCAAAGATTGAAGCCCATAGTTCAAACCACAGTCCCACAAAAAGAAAAAAAAAAAAGTCCTAAATAATAAAAAGATTAACATAAACTGAGAATATTTTATTTTGTTTTGGGGGCTTAGAAGACCCTTTATAATCTTTACCTAAGTATGGACAATATAATTACCAAACTTTGTAAGTTTAAAAAGTAACAGAATTTAAGCACATATATTGGATAAAAGCAATGCATTAAAAAGTTTTATGTAAATTGGGCACTGGTTGCTCACTTCTGTAATCCTAGCCTAGCTATGTCTGAGTCTGAGATTGGGAGAATCAAAGTTTATGACCATCCCTGTCAATTCGTGAGACTCCAAAATAACCAGAATGATAGGTATTGGAGGTGTGGCTCAAGTGGTAGAACATCTGCTTTGCAAGTGTGAAGCTGTGAGTTCAAATCCCAGTTCCACCTTCTCAAAAGAAAAAAAAAGTTCATGTTTGCTTAAATCTTAAAC